TTATTTATTTATTTATTTATATGCCGCCCACTCTACCCAGAGGTCTCTGGGCGGCTTACAACAATTATAATGTGCTGTAATCCTGTTCTTCCCCCTTACGGAGGTGGCAAGGAGGGCACCCCAATTTAGTTAAATCGGCCAGGACACAATCCACCCAGAGTGTGTCATTTCATTTTTCTTCCTCCTCCCCACAGACATCAGAGCGCCAAAGGTGTTGCCATTCCTAACGTCAGATTTGTATCCATGAAAATACACATTGTAAAATACCAGTTAGTCTTTAAGATGCTACTATGTTTTTGGCTTGGTTTGGTTTTTGCTTGGATCACCCACCCAGTTATTGTTATGTATTTCTGATATATCTCGCTTTTCTTCAATGTGGCACATATAGTCCTGTTTCCCATTTTTGTCTTCACAACATTAGGACATTTGGTATGGGTTAGAGGGAGAGAGTGGCTGGCCCAAGGTCATGCCAGTGAACATGACAGCTGAGTGGGGATTGGAACCTGGATCTTCCAAGCCCTAGACTCAAAGTCACCCGTAGTCTGAAGTGGGCAAGGGACAAAAATTATAGATCACAGATGCTTAGTCCAACTTCGCTCTGATTGCTATACAATGCTATTATTTGCACAGAAATCCCTGAGAAGGTATATTAGGGAGAGAGAGGATGCTAGCAGAAAATACCTTCCCTTCCTCCATGGTTCAGTATCTTAGCCTGTGTAGCCATCTTTATTTATCTCTGCCCAGATCTCTACTGGTCTCTTTCTGACATCCCCTGCTCCATAGAGCTACTTCCTTCAAGAAAGAGTAACTCCATTTTTCCTAATCACTCTGCCTCCCTATTATACAAAAGACCAGCGTTGCCAGGGGTCCTGTTTGCAGCCTGGCACATCCCGGGGCAGTGTATGTTAGGGCCACCATCTGTGGAGCCCCATCTCCTTTCCAGGGGACTTTGAGCCAGCATCATAGCCTCCCTCCATGCTCTCTGGTGGTTGGCCAATGGGCACATTACAGCTGGAGGGAGTAGGAGTGGCCCCTTGCTTGTTAGACCAGAGAGGAGAGATTTTTCAGTCTGCTCCACCATGCAAGCATATAAAAGGCAGACCAGGTCTTTCTCCAGCAGTATGTTTCCGGACATCACCCAGCACCCTTTCCTTGTAGTTCTAATGTGTACGCCATTTTATAATGTATTCTTTGTCCTTCTAAATATTTGGTGTTATGGTCACATGGCAAGACCAAGCAGATGACCCTGTCATAGGGATATCAGATTGGAGGACTGACAGGGACATGCTCTGCTCAGGAAGGCAGCCACAGTCCCCTGTAAAACCTGCCAAAACTGGTTCCCCCTGTGGCCTTGTGGCCTCCTTGAAGATATGGAGGAAGTGACAGATTTTACTTTCTTGGGCTCCATGATCACTGCAGATGGAGACAGCAGCCATGCACTTCAAAGACACCTGCTTCTTGGGATGAAAGCAATGACAAACCTTGACAGCATCCTAAAAAGCAGAGACATCACCTTGCCAATAAAGGTCCGCATAGTCAAAGCTATGGTTTTTCCTGTAGTGATGTATGGACGTGAGAGCTGGACCATAAAGAAAGCTGACCGCCGAAGAATTGATGGTTTTGAATTGTGGTGCTGGCGGAGTCTCTTGAGAGTCCCCTGGACTGCAAGGAGAACAAACCTATCAATTCTAAAGGAAATCAAACCTGAGTGCTCACTGGAAGGACAGATCCTGAAGCTGAGGCTCCAATACTTTGGCCATCTCATGAGAAGACTCCTTGGAAAAGACCTTGATGTTAGGAAAGTGTGAAGGCAAGAGGAGAAGGGGATGACAGAGGACGAGCTGGTTGGAGAGGGTCATCGAAGCGACCAACATGAATTTGACCCAACTCCAGAAGGCAGTGGAAGATAGGAGGGCCTGGCGTGCTCTGGTCCATGGGGGTCACGAAGAGTCGGACACAACAAAACGACTAAACGACGACGTGGCCTTGTACCTGAGAGTGGTACCTGTAGGCACATGCCAATTCATGGCTGTCCAGAAGGGGGCTGGGGTGGTGGGCACTAGTTGACAGGCAGGTCATCTGATGCTTGGATTCTGTCCCTCTGTTACCAAAACAGCTTGGCCTTTTTCCACGCCTATCCTTTGACATAGATAGATTGGCACTGTCAGATGGTGTGTTTTCTTCTGCAGGGACAGCAGAGTGGGAAATCTTGTCAGGATATGCAGTGGAGATTCAACTGAAGTCTAGAACCCAACTCTTAATATTTCAAATGTTACAAGGTGGAAAGGGAAGTTTAGCAGATGCTGCGCTCCTGAGTTGCATACATGTCTTGTTTTCTTGGAAATTTCACTGTGCAACTATACAAACAGTGTTGGCATTTATTTTTTCCCCTCTGAATTCCCTCCTCCTTTGGCAGCATTTATATGGTAAGGCAAAGACCAAGTAAGATGGGCCAAGTGTGTCCTAATGTTGTACACAAGAACACCTTGGTAAATATTACAAGGAGTGGAAGACAAGCGTGTCTAACAAAACCAGTCACTCGCTGTGCAGGCTGATTAATTGGAGTCTGTTTTCCTCCTCACAGTTAATCGTTATTTGGACTAACCTTTTTAACTGAAAGGATCTTCCTGAGCCTTCAGTAGCAACCTTGCATACAGAAACAAAGCAGAGGGGAAAAAATCTCGTAATCATAGCTGTAGTCTTGGAAAAGACTCACTTTTTGTTTATTGTTTAAAAGGTGAGGAATCCACTCCTGTCGATGACACAAGGGCAGATCTAAGGAAGGGGGGGGGAATAGTCCAACTCTATTAATTTCACCCATTGAAAAGAAAAGCATTACTGTGAGATTTTTCTAAATCAATCCATTTTCTACTGATAGGGTGCTAATCTGCAAAGACACAAATGCTCTCCATACTCTTCAAAAGGCTACTAGGACTTGTTACCTAAAACCTTTTTCTGTGTCTTACAATAAAATAAAATATATACAAAGGATCTGTCCTGCTCACTGTGATCTTTTAAAACATAAGCCTTTCTAAGGGTTGGCTGTCTACAAGGGAACAAAGTGGGGGAGGGTGTGGGCTGGTCTGAACATAATGGAATCCCTCCCAAACCCAAAGTTATATTTTTCCCTTTATTTTAAATAACAAGCCCCAATAGTTACATGCTTTTTCTAATTCTGAACAAAACATAAGGTGTTTAAAACAGATAAGCTCTTACCTATTTGCTCATAACTTGAAGACCTATGGATCTGGGGTTTAGTGACCATTTTCTGTAAAAGAGGGGAGACAGTAAGAGCCATCATGCCTATAACAGATAGCCCATGCATAAAAAAGTAAGGTTGGTACTTTTCAAAAGTATTATTTTTAAACAAATTTTACAGGCTTGACAGAGAAAAGTTTTATAATGATAGCCTTTAAGCCTGGTTAACACAGTCTCTAGGAAACTCTGATCTGATTTTCTCAGTAACTTTTTTTTTAAAAAGGTATTATTAGAATTTGTTACATTTTTAAAAAGCTCAGACATATAATCCACAGTTCTCCTAGTGATGTAGACAACATGATGCAGGTAAGCAACCAATGTAAGAACATAAAAAGCAGTCTTAAAGCAGATTTTTCCACATAACATTTGCAGCATTCTTGAAAGGCTGTGTGCATCCCAGGACATTGTTGACCAGACATTTCTAGGTGGCATCCCTCGCATGTATCTTTCATATAGCCAGTCAGACAGTGCTTCCATAAAGGCTTGCCTTTGCAATGGGTCTCATGCCTTTTTTCAGGGGCGTTCCACTTACTTGTAAATGGGATGGTTCCTGAAAAATCAAAGAGGGGTTTTAACAAACACATACACAGAGTAATCATATATAGCAACCCTCTGGCGCCACCCTTCCACAAATGATTACATACCGGTGTTTCCGAAGATTTCTCTCTACAAAAGGGAGCTTCCATATTATGCCATCTTTCAGGTTCTTCCAGGCATTGTAGTGATGCAGGTGGCATATTCTCATTGTCAGAATCTGTACTCATGTACCGCTTTCTGGGGTTGGCTGGGGTTTTGGCATCCAGGTCCTTTTGGCTTTCCACCTTTGGGGGCCCCTGGGTACCAGGGAGCTGGTTTTCCTTGTCCTCCATCTTTTCCAAGCTGCACCGGTCTCTACAAAGAGTGGCAAGCATGCGCAGAAGACCCCAAAAATCACAGCTGTGGCGTTTCAGCAACTGCTGTGGAGTTTCAGCGCCAGGCGGCCCTACGGCCACCCCTTTTCTAGCCAAACCCCTCCAACCTCTCCCAATTGGCCCACAGGGCCATGTGGGCAACACGTCACTTTGGGGCCAATCCTGAGGCCATGTTCTGGTCACAGGGGACCCCTGTTTCTATCAATCCCTCTTATAGGCCCATGGTGGACTCACCAATCCCCTATGGCAAAGTCCTGCCCACCTAGGAGG